TCTTAGTTGGTTTTCTCCATATTAAGACCCGGACATTGCCTCAAATCCTTTTTTTGAAAGACGGGGTATATATAAATAAATAAATGAATAAAAAAATAATTAGTGTACTAAATTCTTCTTAACAGAACTTTACAAAGCAGTATGGCAAAGCTTCTCTCAGATCTTAGTATGGACACTGCTCGCTGCAAGCCTGGGAATAATCTTACCAAATCACTTCTGAACATTTATGATAAACAACCTCAACATGACCCAATCCCTGCTCACACTTCCATAATGAGCTACCTAAATAAGTTAGAAACAGATCACACCTTTACACATTCAGAGCCACTCTCTACAGTTAACGATGAGAAAAACATAGTGCCAGACAGGCCCTATGAAAGTGTTCTGCCTTCCAAAGGCCCACAGCATAGTAACACTAGGAGCACGGAGGAAGTGTCTGCCCCTGGAATCACTTCTACCCTTTCAAAACAGGATTCTGATGAAGAGAGTGAAATTACAACTTTAATAGAAGATGAGTGTAATCTGGATAGTACAATTTACATCCCGTTTTCTAGAAGCACTTCTAAAAGGAAATCAGCACTATCGAAGAGATTATCCCCACAGCCGCAGGTCAGTGTAGCTCCACCACAGCCGGTCAGCAACAGTGGACTTGTCCCTGAAAAAGAAAACAAATTGTGTGCACCTGGAGATTGTTACTCTTCCAAAAAGGAAGCAGAAAATGTACTTGAGAAACTTTCGAGAACAGCCGAAATGAAGGATAAGCAGCTCCTCAAGAAAATAAAGGAAGCCATCTGCAAGATCCCTGCTGCCACTGAGAATCCACAGGCACCAGCCACGTGTCACGGCCCCTCCACTTGCCAGAGCAGCAGCTTTCAAGTGAAAAGTAGTGCCCTCTCTGATGGTAGCTTTTTAAATTCTGACTTCACATCTGACTGGAGCATCTCTTCTTTTTCAACATTCACTTCTCGTGATGAACAAGACTTCCGAAATGGCCTTGCAGCGCTGGACGCCAACATTGCTAGACTCCGGGAGTCTTTAAGGACTGGTCTTCTAGAGAAATGAACTCAGAAGAAAATGGATTGAGTGCTTCTTTTGAAGACTAGACTTGGTTACATGGAATGTATACTTTAAATTTCTTTAGAGAAATGTTTTATATTAATTATGTGTGAAAATAAATTGAATAATAAATTTATTATTGGACTATATCAACATTGGAGCTTGTAAAAACAAGTCATCTTAAACTGACATGTGCTAAGAGAAAAAAGTTATAAGTAACTAGGGAAGTATTATATATAATATTTTATTTTAGTACTTAGCAATTAGAGTTCTTCTATTACCCTGCTGGGTAAAGAGTACAGGTTGGAAGGATTCTCCGGTTGTCCTAAAGGATAATTGGAAGGGTGTGTTGGTGCAATTTACTGTATTCAAACTAGTTTCTCTTCCAGGATTCCTTTTGTTTTTTTAATGGCATTGTGTCTTTATATGGGATACTTTATGCTACAGGCTAGTATTTTTTAGTGAAATGTGTAAACATTTCTTTTAAGGCAAAAAATAGTCTACCTTTTAAGAAACATTGATCCAATAAAATATAGGTAACATCCTCAGTTAGCATATGGTTTCTTAAAACGGGCACTTTTATTTGTTTTTATACTGAATGCATGTTTAAGGCCTTTAAAAAATAAAGTCAGATTGATAAATGCTAATAGATAAGTTTCAGTTTGGGCAATTTTTTTTTTAGTAAATAAGGAATGTTTGTTTTTTGTCCTTATATTTGAACATGACGGAGTTTGTAAATCTTGCACTGGTTGTAATTCGCCTTTCTGATCAATTTTTTCAGCACCTGAGCTGAGAACATTCTCTGTTCTATAATTAATATGAACTAGGTTGTACTCTGCTTCTCTATCCTAACACCTCTAAATTACTCAGTATTACTTTCTTCCATGTAAGCAGCACATTTTAACTCTTAGGAAATTGAGTGTTGTGCTGTCACTAGCACTCCATACAAGTCACTTGCTTGGTGTTATGTGTTTAGTGCTTGGGCAGGCCTTGGCATTAAAGAGTGTTCTGCTGGTCCCAGAACCGATTCTTGCTGGTTTTTTAAGTGTTGGTGCTACAACTTCTTAAGTACCCAGACATAGTCTCTTTGACATGTCCAGACTTTATAGACAGAGATTTCTTAAGTCTAAAAATATGAGATGAATTCTAGGCTATTTTCACAGAATTATCCATTACTACTTACAATTTTTCTGACTTCCAGTATTCATAAATTAAGTCATTGGTTTATTTAAAGGTAACAGGTCACAATTCTTTAACACATAAGTTCAGAAGTACAAAATAATAAAGCAAGGAAGACTGAGAAGAAAAATTTCATTTGGATCTTAAAGAGTATATAGGATATGGATAATCCTGTGACTATCCTCAAAATATTTACCCCATAGAAAGTATCACAAAACATGGGGTTTGGTTAAGTGGAATATTTAAGAGGATGGTAGATAACAGCAACCTGACTAAAATAAAGGGGTCAAGATTATATGATAATGGTAATAGATGATAACACATTTTGAAGAGTTGGTGTCATATTGTAAAATGTCTTAAGCTCCAGGATGTGGAATAACCATTAAATGTGAAGTCATTGGGTGTTTGAGTATTTTTGATGGTGGTTCTGTTTTTTATTTGAGGATCGCCAGATGAATTGGGTATTCTTAAAACTACAAAGGGTGATGGTAAATAATTAGAGGAGGGAGAGACTGGAGACCACTCAAAAAGCTGTCACAGTAGTCCAGACATAAATTGACAAGCCTTTGGCAATAAAAGTGAAAAGGAGAGAAAAATGAAAAATTTTCAGCAGGCTTGGTGACATTTCATTAATAGGAAATGAAAGAGAAGGGGAAATCTAAGATGACTCCCAAAGTTTCCAATTTGATCAGTTTGAGTCACACTGAGCAACGTCCAAAATGAAAAATCAAGTTCTTGGTTAAGTCCCAAGTCATTAAATTCCAAGATGAATCTTGATAATGGAACTGTAATGGAGAGCGGGATATAAAGGAGAGAAGGAATGCCTGTTCTCAGTAGTCGTCTTCAGCTCTTCACACCAGGAGTCAGAGTAAGTACCCATCATAGTCTCAGAAGGGTCAGCCTGGCCCCAAATCCCAGCATTCTCACAAATGCTTTCAGATTTCCCAGAGTGTGAGAAGCATATTATTCAGGTATACCCTAACCTCTGCCAGGGTATCTCCTGATAGATATTGGGTATGGAATGGGAAAAAAACCATCCTCCAGCATTTTGTCACTATTCTACTTTCCTTTCTTGGATCTATGGTGGTAATGTACAAACTGTTCACAATGAATTTCATATTTGTGAATACCATTGAAAATGAAAGAATCTGATTGTACTTGACAAAGTAGAGATCCTCAGGGTTAAAAAAAACCAAAGAAGTACTTGGTATACATTCTTCCCTTACTCCCACCACCTTGGAGTTTAGTAAATCTTCCAGAAATCTACTTTTCACTAATGGTCGCATTTATGCCACGTGCTTTTAAAGTTATAAAGGCCTGCTTAAACTACATGGAAAGTAGGGCAGAACTGCAAATCCTGGTTAGATAGGGCATGCAGCCAAATCACATCTTACCAAATATGTAGCTAGTGCTCACATTGTGGGGTAATCCCTTCAGCTAAAGGTTCATTCATTCATTCAGTTAATGAATAAAATAAAAGCTCTAATATGTGCCAGTTCCTAATCTGGACTCAGAGAATACAACAATGAACAAGATAGATAGTCTCTGCCCTCAAGCAGCTTGCATTACAATAGGACACGAACATATAATAAGTAGTGTGAAGAGAAACAGGGTAAAGAGACAGAGTGACAAAATTGGCTTAAGTTTTAATTATTAGGGCAAGAGTCCCTTTCTCAAAAATTATATTTAGGAGTCCGGAATTTAAGCATACCTCTAGATAAAGTTGGATTTGATTTGCTAGCTAACAATTATATTTCGGATCTGTTCTAAATTTCCTGCCACGTCAGAATGGCTTAAACAAATGATTTATACAACTGTATTACACCTTATGTTTTGATGTTTTTGTGTACCACTTATAGAGAACTGGGCACTATTTAAAACAGTCAGCCTAAGTAGGACATCCCAGAGAATTATTATTGGAAATGGTAAGATCTTGGGGACTTCTCAAGGGCTCACAAGTTGAGTTTTTGAAATGACTTTAGAAGTTACCTATCTCAGTCTCATACCCAAAGAAGGAAGCTGTTCTACAGTTATACCTAAGCTGGTAAAATCCCACACACACAATGTGTATTCCTTTTGCCTGGGCCGCCCTTTTGCTTAGGCATCTCCTGACAAATTCTTGCTCATTCTTCAAACCCCTGGTACCTACTTCTGTGCTTTGTACATATTTCTATTGATGGGTGTATCAGTTTGCATGTCAACCTTGCTACCCTGTATGCTTAAGGGCAGGGACCAGGATATATTCATCTTTGATGCTCCCTGTGACACTTGGTGTCTACCATATAATCGGCAGTTAAAAACTGTTGTTGGACTTAACTAAATCTCTGACAAAAGGTCAAGTAGGCATCACTTGATTTTCTCTTGGTAAGTTCATGCAACAGCTTCTTTATAGTTTTATTGCACATGTCTAAGCTCTTTGCTTTTGTTCTTTATTCCTATTATTTACTCCTGAAACAAAATGTACTTTTATCACACACTTACACACTACTGCTTACTCTGAGGAGAAGCCACAGATAGTTAAATATTTAAGAGAGGAGATAACAGAAACATTTTTAACTCTATCACCAGCTCAGAGATACTCTATCCTACTAGCCTACCTCAACAATTTGTGGGAGGGATAAATGTAGGCAAAAGCACTTTGAAAATTAGGGCACTGAACAATCTGTGACTTATAACAACATTTAAAGAGCTTTTGCCATTCTTGGCCTCTTTTGATGTCCTTCAGTTTGTCCATGTCTTAAAATTTAAATCCAACAGCGAGCAATGAACTCCAGATGTGATGCGATCAAGCAAAATACAGTTAGATTATCATTTCCTACAATCTTGTTAAAGTTGTTTTAAAATGGACAAAGATTGAGTTAGCTATCTTTAGCCGTCATATATTACTGCAGATCATATTGGGGCTGTATTTAGTTTCTAATTATGTTGTCATTCTTGGAGCTGAGTGGCATCATGTTAGGACAGCTCAGGGGGGTGGAGCAGGTTCTGTCCCGCTAGAAAACAAGCGATTCCTCAAAGACTGAAGTTCTGACCAAACTAGTGGCCTCAATTACCCCTAAAAGAAGAGCTCACATTTACCACAAACTCAAAGTGTCATTTTCCATGAAGCCAGGTCTTAAAAGGCTATAAAGAATGGAGAGAAGAACTATACACGAAACCTAGGTTCTTACACAGGTTCTGCTGCTGTTTTTCTGTATGAACCTTGTTTTCCAGTTACAAAATGTGAGGATTTGACTAAGAGTTCTCTATGGTCACGCCATGATTTGACAATTTAATAATGTATTCTAGCATTTTGACAGGACTTCTCTTTCAATTAGTCAACCATGAGGGTTCTGTTAGAGTATTTAGAACTCTACATGGAGTAGACAGGCCATTCTCCCAATCAATGGGATGGCCCTGCCAACTCCAGAGAAGATTTATAGAGAGAAGGAAGGTCATTATTTGTCACGTATGATTCAAAAGAGCTGTGACATACTTGGTATCTTTGTTAATAATTCCATCTAAAGACTAATTTTTTAACATCGCCATTTCTATTAGCATTCCCTACTTAGAAGGTTGCAATACTTCTGGTATAAAAATATTGTGGATAATTTTTGCTTTATTTTTACAAATTTTGACTTTTATAGCTTATAGGGAACTTATGATAATCTAGTCCAACTTCATTTTTAGAAATAGGGAAACAGACAAAAAAATATTAAAGACACTTGCTCAGGGCCACACAGCTAACACCTTGAAGCAGATATTGTGATTCTCAGTCTATTTTCCTTATTATATTGTCTTCGCACTATCAGCTAAATTTCATGACCATTTGAACCCCTGGGGCCCCAAATCTGTCACCAGAATCTAGTTGTGTGCCATTCTCTACTAGCATGGTCTAATAATAAGGAATTCCTTCTGGGATTTGTTGTGAGGATTAAATAAGTGAAAATGTTTTGTGAACTATAATCACTAAATAGATGCTAAGATCGTTATATGTAGGTGGTCTACGTGTATATATGTGTATATACTGTACTAGACGCTTAAGGTTTTACTTTTACTTTCTGAAAAGCACACAGTGTCCTTAAAATCTGTTTAGCATGTGGCATAATGCTAGTAAAACAATTTTCCCACCTGTCACTCAGCCAATTCCATCTATTTTAGAAGTAGATGGAGAAAGTTACATGAGTTTTTCTCCCATTAACACTGGCATTCACAGTGACTTCTGACAATCCCAGGACTCCAGCACTATCTTCTGCTCAGCCTGGAGGGTAAGATGGCTCATTCCTCCATGGACATCTCAGGGAGACACACAGAAGTATCACAAACTATGCAGGAGGAAAATGTGGTCCCCTTTTGGAGCTGGAGACTTAACACATTTGTTCAAATCTATAACAAGGAATGTTGCCCACTGCTCAGTAGGGGGCACACAGCCAAGGTACATATTTTCACCCCATTATCCTTTCCAGATTATTCTGCACTTGGCTGTGAGCTCTAGGCCCAGAATGGGGTAGGAGACCAGAATCAAATATTTAAAAAGTGAGCAGCTCCAAAACAAGCAGAATAGACCCTCTTGGAGGGTAGCAGTTTGTTTGTGGTTTGGCAAGAAGAAATAAGTAAAGGAAAATAAAATTTCAAATCCAGAGCCTCAGTGGATGGAGAGAAAATTAATCTTTTTTTTAGGTCAGTCAATAGTATCAGACTTGCTGTCTTAGGATAGGGAGATAGATTGGTGGAAGATGAGACAAACTGGAACAAGTCAACAAATAAATATTTCAGGAAGTAGGTCTTCACTATTTAGAGTCATGACCTATATCCCATCACTCCATCCTCCCCCCAGCACAAAGCTGGTGATGATTTTTTCACCAGGTACTCAGACTATTGTCATTACTTCTTCCCTACCCCAGTCCCAACCAGTCTAAAAAATTCTGGTCAATTTCTGTAATAATGAATGACTGACATATAAAGCGACTCCTCTCAATGTCTAATTTACCCAGAAAGAGTATGAGAATTTAAATTGTCGTTTGTATTTTTGGCCAGAGTTTGAGAAAGGTCATGATAGATCTTTGATGAATACAAGACACTTAAATAGGCAAAGATATTTTAGTGTGTGGGAAAGTTCATTTTAATAATTGCATTAGAAGAGCAAGAGCCTTGGATCAGGGGTTGTGACCTAGTGACTGTCTTCATATACCACATGACCTTCATTTATAATTTATTAGCTCTCTACTGTGTGCTGCACACTGAGCATTTAAAGGCAAATAAGACAAAGTGTGCCTCTGAGGGACCTAGAGCCCAAGGACCTACCAAATGAGGAGCTATGATCTCAAAGACGCTCTCCAGCTCAAAATGCTACGTTTTCCAAGGAGAAGGCTCCCAATACCACAGGAACTAGGTACATAGCTCTGATTTACATACACTCATACCATGGTTGTG